TTGAACTTCATGAGGTTCCTCTCCACCACCTCTCCAGTACCTCTGAATGGCAGCATAGCCCTCTGGCATATTAACCATTCCTCCCAGTTTTGTGTCATCAGCAGACTTGTTCAGGGTTTATTCAATCCAGTCATCCAGGTCACTAATGAAGATGTTACAGTGCTGGCTCTTGCATCAGCCCCTGGGTAACACCGTTAGGGACTGAACTCCAGCTTGGCTTCGTGCTGCTGATCACAAACCTCTGAGCCTAGCAGTTCTGCCAGTTTTCATTACACCTCACTGACCACTTATCTAGCCCATACTTAGCAGCCTGTCTATGAAAATGTTATGAAAGACAACATCAAAAGCCTTTCTAAAGGCCAGGTAGACAATATCTACTACTCTCCCCTCATCCACCAAGCCAGTTATCTCATCATGATAGAACGCTAACCTATAGTAAAGCCATAGCATACTTGGTTAAGCACGATTTCCCTTTCATAAATCCATGCTAACCACTCCCAATAAACTTCTTGTCCTTCACATCCCTGGAAATAATTTCCAGGATTAGCTATTCCATCACCTTCCCAAGGGTTAAGATGATCTCCTATCCCAGCTTCTCCTGCTTGCGCTTCTTGAGGACAGAAGTGCCATTTGCTCTCTTACACTCCTCAGGAACATTTCCTCCTGACTGCCGTGACTCATGATAGGTAATTCAGAATGGCTTTGCAATGATTTTGGTCAGCTCCCTCAGCAGTTACATCTGCATCCTCTCAGGGCCCAGTAACTTGTGAATGTCCATGTTGGTCAAGTGTTCTCTAATGTGATCCTCTTCCACCAAGGATAAGCCTTCATGGTCGCAGACTTCCCCTCTAGTCTCAGGGGCTTTGGATTCCTTAGGACTAGTCTTAACTTAGTAAAATCAAGTAAAGACTCACCTTAGTAAAGACTGAGGTGAAGAAGGCACTCAGTACCTTTGCCTTTTGTCTTCTTTGCCATCAGAGCCCTTGTCTCATTTAATATAAGGATCATATTTTCCCTAGCCTTCCTTTTGCTGCTGATGTATTTGTAGAACCCTTGCTTGTTGCCTTTAACGCCCACTGCCAGTTTCAACTCTAGGTGGACTTTAGTTCTCCTAACCTCATCCCTGCATGCTCAGGCCATAGCTCCATGTTCCGCCAGGGCACCTGACTCTTCTCCCACCTCTTGTATATTTCTTTGTTAATGTCTGGTTATGCCAGAAGTCCCTTGGTCATCCATGCAGGCTTTCTCTACCATTACAGGAAACTGCATGTTGGGATGGGCCATTCTTGAGCTTGCTGGAGGTGATCCTTGAAGATCAGCCAGCCTCCAGGGCTGTATCTCATGAGATTCTTCCAAGCATCACCTTGAACAGGCCAAAGTCCACTCCCTTATGGTATCCCTTAATAATAAGGGAGTATGACCATGATTTTGAATAGTATCAGTAAGTTAGTTTTTAAACTAATGCTAAACACCAATGCTCAAGGATTACAGTAAGCTTAATTTGGAATAGACATACATCCTGAAGATCTCATATTCAGATATGCCCGGCATCCCTCAGACAAAGGCAGCTCAGAAAAATGATGCAGATATTTGGGGTCCCTGAATAAAATGCTATTAGCACTATCCCATTCCCCTCTTCTCCCCAACAAAATGCTCATTTTCAGTATTTTAGCTAAACAAGAGGACAAAAACAGTCTTTACCGTACCTCCAATTTAGTTCCACTTTGTTTGTCTAGACCCCAGCTCAGCAATAAATACTGTTAGCCTGACCAAATCTGTCCGACTCTTCCCATCCTCCACTCTCTCCTTGTTGATTTTTGTTTCACATTGCCCAAAGGCTAGATGCAAAGGACAGGACAAGAGCTGTGTGGGTCTGACTATTGAGGTGGAACTTTAGGAAATATCGGAATGCAAAACCAAAAGTATCTAAATCATAGTATTTTGTAAATACTATATATTTATTCAGTGGTCTCACAAAATATGCAAGTTTAAGTGGTGTTACTTTACAAGAAGAAAAATGTGGAACCAGAAATTTTTGCAGTGTGTTCAGTGTCACGCAGTAAGTCCTACGCAGAATCAGAGTTCTGTTCTTTGCCCAAACTGCTGAGGCTTCTCTCTTTGAAGTTAGCACTGGAGTTAACATAATCCTAGTCACTGTGACAATTTTCATGATTTTCTCAAATCTCAGGCTTGGCATATATCAGCACTAGCTCCCCATGGTAACTGCAGCTTGTGTTTTCTATTTAAATGTAGTAAAATGGTCTGCTTTCTGCAGCACTTTCCTTTTACAGAATTGTTATAAGACTGCAATAAAGTCATAGCCCCCAGTCCATAGTTGAACACCTTCTGAGTCCAGATCAAGATTATTATATCACCCATTTGGTGTCAGACTTGGTAGGTTTTGCTGGCATCAGGTATCGAAGGTTCTTCCAAAATCTGGAATTCACAGGAAGAGATTTATCCTTTTTCCACCTCACAATCCTTTGCGATGGTAAAAGAGATAGTGATTCTGGCAAGAAATTATAGTCACTTATAGGCATATATTCAATTAATATGATCTTAGTTTTCCTTTCAACTAGGGCTTTATGAAGTCCACTCTCAAGTTCATATATGGCTCTGTCAGAAATGTAGTTCTGGCTCAGTATAATGATTAATCTTCGGCTTTTGTCAATAAATGAATGGATATCATCAACAACAGCTGCAAATTAAACATACATGTCTTATTAAACTAAATTGAAAGGGCAAGCACTGAATCAACTTATCTTTTAACAATCTTCTACCAAAAATCTTTCCCTTATAGTACAGGGAGAGGGTAAAAATATCCTGCCTTTACGAATAGTAATACGCTTTATAGATTACAAGTCTGAAAGAAGGAGTTCAGGTATCACTGGAGTTTGTTCTCTGGCACAGGCAGGAGCTCACACACAATCCCAAGCTATCCAAGACAACTGTCTATCAGTAGTCACATGGATAGAATGACAACAACAAAATTCATTGTCCCTCCAGCCACCTAGAACACTAGCATTCCCTATTAATTACAAAAGGATATATTATGATAAAATGAGTTCCAACTGAATTTTAGACCTTTTGTCCTGACAATCTGTGGACAAAATCAAATGGTGATCTCCTTCAAACATGCACATAAAGGAATTCTCATGCACAACTTCCAGAACTCTCTCCAGTTTCATAGAATAACAATGTCTTCAGACACCAGAGATCTACGAAGATGCTTTGTAAGGAAAGACAAAGCAAACTGCTGATGTCACCTAAAGAAGATGAAACTGAGGAGAGGAAAGTGGACAAGGATATTCCTGTAAAGAAGAAGGGAATATGCTACTACTCAATGAATGGCAAGAAATAAGGAGAATATGGAAATAAGGAATAAAAACAAGCAAAAATGTGGCAAGGAAGAATTTGATTGACACTTTTTTTTTTTTTAATATGTAAGGATAGGGAAGAACTGGAACAAATGGCTCAAAAAAGTTGTGCATCTTTCTTTGGAAAAATATCAGTCAGGAATGGATTAAGTCAGAGAAGATCATATCTTGCAAAGGAGAGTGACTGACCTTATTATTCAGTACTTTTAACAATGAGACTCTATCCCCCAACTAGAGCTTTGGACTAAATTGAATCTTCCAGTATCATTTTATTTTCCAACACTTACAAAAGGCAATCTATTTAAGTCATTTTGAGAACCAAATTTTCATTTCCTCATTTCCATCATCTTCTCCATTATGATTACAAAGCAATGTCAGCTGTCACACATGCAGACAAACTTAAAAATAAAACCAGAGTAACTAGTAGCAGAACCACCAACTGCTTTGCAGGGTTAGTGAAAGTTTGTTTATAGAAGCCTGCCCTCCATAAACACAGAGAAATTACACTATTACTGTAAAACATCTGGCACTTTGTATGTTGTCATTTAAGCTTTCTCCATGGTAACATTTTGCCAGTCCTTGGTCCAGTCCTGTTCAATTTATTCATCAATGACCTGGATGAAGGCACAGAGTGCTGCCTCAGCAAGTTTGCTGATGATACCAAACTGGGAGGAGTAGCTGATACCCCAGAGGGCTGCGCTGCCATCCAGAGGGACCTGGACAGACTGGACAACTGGGCAGTGAAAAAAACCTCATGCAATTCAACAAGGCCAAGTGCAAGGTTCTGCACCTGGGGAGGAATAACCCTAGACACCAGTATAGTCTGGGGACCGACCATCTGGAGAGCAACTCTGCAGAGATGGACCTCCGTGTCATGGTGGATGCCAAGAGGCAGCAGTGTGTCCTCGTGGCCAAGAAAGCCAACGGGATCCTGGGGTGCATTAAGAAGAGCATCTACAGCAGGTCGAGGGAGGTGATCCTGCCCCTCTACTCAGCCCTGGTGAGGCCACATCTGGAGTATTGTGTCCAGCTCTGGGCCCCACAGTACAAGAGGAATGTGGAGCTGCTGGAGAGAGTCCAGCGCAGGGTCACAAGGATGATCAGGGGCCTGGAACATCTGCTGTGTGAGGACAGGCTGAGACAGCTGGGCCTGTTCAACCTGGAGAAGAGAAGGCTGAGAGGGGATCTAATCGGTGTACCTCAAGGGAGGCAGTGAGGAGGATGGGGCTGGCCTCTTTTCAGTGGTGGCCACCAACAGAACTAGAGTCTAGGTGACCCTGTGTGTACAGGGGGGTTGGACTAGATGACCTCTAGAGGTCCCTTCCAACCTTAAGCATTCTATGATTCTATGATTCTATGATTTTCACGTGTTCATCTTGATTCTGTGCAACTAAAGACATGGGTGTAAGTATGTATGCATATGCATTCATAAAAATGTATATATATATATGCAAAATGTTCACAAGTCATCTTTGTATGAAAATGCAGTCTAGATTAACTGAAAAAAAAAGTGGTATTTTAATGCAAGAGACATTTGACAGAACTCCTTATTGCAGACCTTTGCCTTTGTGTGAAAATGCTGTGTCAATTCAATGACAAGAATACTTGTTATACTTACCTCCTCCAGGAGATACATCCCTCTCAAATATACACAACTTGTAACCAAAATTTTCTTCTAATATCTTGGGCAATATATTCAGAGCAAATGCTCTCTCTTCTTCACTAGGAGACACACAGTCTTTCAGGTAAGACACAAAAGCATCATACTCTTTTCCATCTGGAAAGAAATCACCAGTTTGTCTTGCTGGCAACCACTTGAAGTAAAATATCAGACCCACCACTAGAATTTTCAAAATGAGTTTCTCAACAGCAAATCATCTAGACCTCTAAGTCCCCAAGGAACCCTCAAACAGATAAAATTCTCAATCAAATTAATCTGGCAAATGTTTGAAAATAATCTTTCTTTTCTCTATGGTGATTTTTAAAGATCAGATTAATCTAAGCATTAATTTAACACCAATTTCATATCTGGTGGTCATGAAAACGTAGCGACTTATTACAGACTAATATGCAAAAAATGGGATGGCAATCTGATATAAATGTCATAAAAATAATGTTACAGATTTTGACATTTACCTTACTAATTACCTAATACTATGGGTATTTGCAAAAGAGATTATATTAATTTATTATTTTAACATCTTAGATTTATAAGCCTATATCATATTGGCCACACTTTTTGCAGTTATTTTCAAACATAAAATGCAAATAAGACCAATTCAGAAGCCGCTGACCACTAAACTACTCACTAAACTTGTGTATTTTATCTCCTCCTCAAATGTTCTTTTCTATACATCCTATCAGAAGCTATTTTTAATCCATAGATTTAATTCAGTATCAGCATCAGATAAGTCATACCTCCAGCAGTGTCATCTTTTCTACATATGTTCCTGTAAAACAGAACTAAGTCAACTCTGAATGTCACACAGATGACCACCGCAACTACAGCAATGCATATAAATATTACACCAAGGACCATCCCAGTTTTAAATATATGCACAGGCAGATCTTGGGTGTTCCCTGTAAAACAGAAACCCAGAAAATTATAGGCTTAACAAAACACTACATGACAAAATTACATCAGTAAATACTCACAACATCTTAAAACAACCTCAAAAAATTATACTGTTGATGTAAATTCTTTCTGCTTAAAATTTTGAGCACACTTGCATTTTATGCATCATGAGAGGGACAAGGATTATAGACTGAAGATTTCTTTAGAAACTGGAGAAATAATCTCACTGCATGCATACAGCCTGCACACGTATATCACAGAAGCACAGAATGGTTGAGGTTGGAAGGGACCTCTAGTGACCAGCTAACCCAAACCCCTGCTCCAGCAGGGACACCTGGAGCACGTGGCACAGGGGGCACAGGGACTCCACAACCTCTCTGGGCAGACTCTTTCAGGGCTCTATCACCCTTACAGGAAAGAAGTTCTTCCTCACCTGGAGATGGAACTTCCTGTGTTTGTACCAGATCCTCAAAGCTGCTGGCTATATTTGCTCACCCACCTGATTATGAGTTTTCTTCTGGATCTTTATTACTTCCTGTTATTCTATCCCTTTCATCCTTATCTCTGCTCATCGATAACAGCCACTAATGTTTCCTTTAATCTCTTTGGTCATAATCTTTTCTTTTTCTTCTGTCACGATTGTATTTTTAGCTTTTTTGTTTCTTTATTTGGTTAGCTTCCTCTCTTAGATTCCAAATACAGATTTTTAAGCATTAAATCTTTCAAGAGTCCTTTGTGAAGGCACTATCATGCCATGCACCAGTCTGTATTTCATTTTCCTTATTATATACAGCATCATTTAAGATTGCCAAGTACTACTTTTGCACTTGTGGAGTTAAATATTTCCTTCCAGAAAAACTGGGAAAGGTCTGAGATTGATGGAAAAATAGAAGCAAATATCACAAATTTTCAGACCGTCTGGGAGGAGTAAATGGGAGGTTTACTGTACGATAGACATCAGCACTCCACAGATAGAAGGACAGAGCACCTGGCATCAACCAAAATGCTGGAGGCATTAGCAGGAATATAAAAGATTTCCCTTCACAGGTAGAGAATAAATAAATAAACAAATATATAAACAAAAAGTCCTATTTTAATTCTAGAAACAACAACTTCTGGAAACAATATGTGATTGAAACAGAAGCCTCTGGGCTGCACCGATTTTGGGGTATCCACCTATCCAATGGCAAGGAGAGTGCAGGGGAGCTATCAAACACATTGCAGAGAGATGTCAGCCTAGCAGGAGAACAGCTCAGCCTCCCCTAGATCTGTTAATAGCAGCAGCAGTTTAACCAAGGAATCCTCAAACTGCTGCTCTAGCAGAAGC